CGAAGCCCCCATCCTGGAGCGACATGGTGTGCTAAAGCTTGCAAAGTTTGAGGGGTTTAGGGTTTAGGGTTTAGGTAGACCCTTAGAGGCCATGAAGCAGTGCCTATGTATATTCTTCCAAAGAGCGGCCGGACTTCATAGGTTGACACTTATTTGTACCAGTTTGCAGAGTTCTTCTGGCGGTAAGGGCTGTCATCTTTCCCAGCCATGGGGCCATGCCACCCAGGTGTTTCACGCACTCGAGGTGCTTTCTTGCCCTTGCTCAACAGGATCCGTCAACCTGCTTTCTGGAGCTTACAGACTCTGAGGACCCACGGCCTCATGCCCAGTATGTAAATCCTAAACCCACCCTAAACCCTAAACCCTTCAATTCCTCCTGGCAATCTGTTTCATCCGTCCAAGCCATCCCTGAAGAACCATCGTCGGGCACTCATTAAGCGGCCTACAGGTTCCCGGCCAGAGAATCCCACCTCAGGAGCTGGAATTTCGAAGGTTTAGGGTTTAGGAGCTCAAGTCATATACCTCAAACCCTACACCCCACATCCTACCCTGAACCCCACACCTGAGTATCTGGGGGGCTCTTTGAAGCTTGTTTTTGAAGCTTAAGCCTTCCCCAAGGCCTTTGCATGCAGTCCTGTTAAGATAGTTTGGTGCATTTTGGAGAAATGGGGAGGTGCCTGCTGTCCAAGCGGAAACCCTAAACCTTAAACCGTATTCAGGGAACTTGAAGGCATCTGGGCTTTAGCACTAACCCTCCTTGCATTTCCGCCTGCTGGTATATCTCTCAGCGTCCACGATCTCTGGTCCTTTTCCCATCAACCCGGATCACGAAGCAGGATTACCCACTGTGCTGGGCCGTTGGACATCACTGTGTGGCCTCTGCTTTCTTACGCAGAGTCCCCTGTGCATGCAGTTGTTTCCAAGCGAATGAAATCCAAGAGACACCTCTTCAAGCGGCTGCCAGGAGACCAAGGACCCAATGGTGTCCGCCCTCATCCACAAAGTGAATTCAAACCCTAACCCCTAAACCCTAAACCCTGAACCCTAAACCCTACACCCTAAACCCGAAACCCTAAACCCTAACCCTTAACCCTTAAGCCCTAAACCTAAAGCTGGAAACCTTTTGGTCCAATTAAAATCCTGAAGGGCCCTTCCACGCTTCGTGGAAATCGGACAGCTTGACTGACTTGCCAACGTCTTCTTTATTTTGCCTGGATGTCTGCACAGTTGTTTTGAACTTTTCATTCGTTTCTCAAAGGAGCCCTAAACAATCTCTAAGCGGAACCCCACAGTCCTCTTGTAATTCTCGTTTTCCCTGGGGTCCTCAAGGGAGCCCCCATTTCAGAAACGCCCGGATACGGCCTTGCACACCTCTTTGAGGGAGTGCGTGCCCGCCGGATTGTGCCATCTTGCATTAAGATTCGCCGCCCTGCGTGCCCTTTTCACTTTGAAGATTGGGGGGAGTCGGGGGGCACGCAGGGGCTACTGCTCCAGCTTTCAATGCCCTAGGCTCCAAGCATAGGACAGCCTGGTCCATAAGATGCGACTACCTGGACCTCAAAAGTAGGGTAACATATCATGGTCGAAAAACCTCAGCAACCGTCAGAACAGCCATGATTCTACATACCTTGGGGGTCCATGTAGAAAATGTTGATCGCCTCTGTCAAACAGCGGCTCGTGTGGCTCAGCGACCTCATTGCCCACGCATCTCAGGCCTCTTCCCCATGGTGGAGGAGACATCTTTGTGCCTAGAACCTTCAGGTATCCTTAAACAAGCATTATTTCTAGGGTCCCTAAACCCTAAACCCTATAAACTGGGCATTTAGGTCAGACCAGAGGATAGTTGGAGGCGTCTCAGGGGTCAGATGCTGGTCAGTCCTGATATACGGCTCACCTCGCCGAAGCTAAGACGGAACCCCCAAAATAGGCTTTAAACTCTAAGCCCCAAAACCCTGAACCCTATAGACCCTAAACCCTACACCCAAGCTTGGCCGGGGAGAGGTGCACCAGATTTCGTCATTTTGCGGTTTAGGTTTAGGGCTCAGGGTTTAGGGTTCAGAGTGCTGAAGGGTTCATGCCCTCCCGACTTTGATGATGAGGCTATGCTTTCTAGCTCGGATCTAGAGAAGATAATTTCTTTGCTGGCGGCACCATGGCTGGAAAGCACCTACCTTAGGCCCAAACTGGCTGCCCTTCAGCAGCTGACCGTGGGGGCACCAAAGCTTCCATGCCAGAATTCTTGCATGGGAGTTGTTTTCAAAGTAACCCCTTAGGGAGGCCCTTATGTGCACCTCCATGAGCCTCCTACAGTTGCTATTCTGAGAAAGAGGTGATACGGTCTATGTCACTCGTGGACTTTGCCGGCAACTTTTTGTTGCGTCAATCTTGAAGTCATCCCCTCAACCCTTACTTAACCCTAAAGGTAGATCTCAAAGGGGGCCAGCGCTTCTGAGGTTTCTTTGTGGGGTCTCTCCTACTTTGGAGGCTCCCTCGGAGTCTACCCAAACTGGACTCAAACCCTAAAGTCCGTGATGAAATACACTTTGTTTCGAGGTTGATTTCTCGACTTCTTGTATGCGCCTTCTCAGATGCGCCCTTGATGGAAAGCAAGTTTCCAACCTCGTGTAGGCACGGAGGCAACCTGCCAATCCCAAACTTTGACAGAACTACCAGGACCCTGCTAGTACCCTTAGCTGGGCCCGCAAGGCCCCTAATAGGGGGCACATAGGCCTAAATAGAAGGTAGTTGGAGGGTTTAGGTACCACACCGCATGTACATAGAAGAAGGCAAGGGCAGTGCTGCTTGCTGTGCACATCCTTCCGGCAACCACACCTGACTCTTGCGTCCTGGGACTTGGCTGGTCGATGGACGGCGCATGCTTCCCCGGGTAGAAATGGAGTTGAGCCCCAATTTGGCTTTACTGGTACAAAGCGAAGGCATAGGGGGACCCTAATCTAGACAAGTCTAGCTACATTATCTGTCATGTCCAGTCAGTAGCCAGCTCTTCTCCTCGTGAAGAGGTTTCCGTATGTGCGGGTTTCCAGAAATCCTCTTGGTCCCGTTACATTGCGGATCATCATGTTGGTGGTGTATAACGGGACCCTACTTTTTGGAAGCTATCGGCATGGCGACGCTAAGAGCGGGGTGACATATCTGTGAACCCTGAACCCTCAACAGCAATTAGTTTCCATGCCATTTTTCTGGTGATATAGGGGTAACATCCTTCAAAGGACGTTGGTTTGTATAAAGCCCCGACCGTCTTGCTTGGCTCCATGTGAAGCAGTCTAGTAGGAGCCATGCCTGAATGACGGTAGGACAACCCATAAGTATCCATAAGCTGTGGCTGTTATTGCAGCTAATTGGGCTACAGGAATGTGTGTTGCTGTAAGCTCTACACGCCATCTTTACTGGGTGCGCCGGCTGCGTTTTGTTTTGCCCGCAGGCCGCTGGTGCACGTGGGATGTTTGCCAACTGAGTAAAACTTTATCGGAATACTGGGGAGTTTCTCAAGAGCGGTGGCCCAGAGGGAACTTCAGGGACATGTGGAGACTATACGCAGATCATAGGCCCTCTATCAGGTGCACTAATAGGTATGATATAAAGATGACTCTAGGAGTCTGTTTTATAGGGGTGCTGAAGTCCCCAACACAGCGGAAGTGGTATTGAAAGCTCCTCTTGGTTGTAGCATGCTTAAAATGTTCTGCTGCCGTTTGACGGAAGGGGTCACGTTAGGTCTCAGGATTTGGGGGTTTAGAGCTTGAAGGCTTCATTTTCTCAATTCGTGGAGTTTTGCACGTGCGGGCTGAGCGCGGTTCAGGATGCAGCTGGGGTAGCAATTCAGACGCGCACTTAGATTACCGCTAGCGAGTTAGCAAGACACAGAACCCATGTGTTCTTTACCGATCTAGGTGCGATGGTATGTCGAATTAGAGGGTTCAGGGATGTTGAGGGTTTGAGGTGGGCTGGGAGGCTGAATCAGCAACAAAGACATTGAATGTCTGCGCAGTGCAGCGGGAACGGAAACATCGAGCTTTTCTGACCGTCAGAGATTTATAGGGTTTAGGGGTTCGGGTTGGAGGTATAGGGTTTGGGGTTCAGGCATCAGGGTTCAGGGTGTAGGGTTTTTGGTCAAGGCATAATGTAAGCACCTTCTAATGCTGCGGTAGGAGCTGTCCCAGGTACAGGGCATGCATCGTGCGCCATTGCAAGTCAAGAGGCGAAAAGAAGTCTTGCCGCAAATTGAGCTACCTGGGCGAATGTCTGGTGGTGTTCAGTGGAAGTGTCGCAGTTGATCCCCAGAAGCTTTCCGGTTATATAGGGGGAGTATTTTAGGGGCTATTAGAGAGATATTAGGAGTTTAGCCTGTAGCTCATATGTAACCCTCTGAATAGTTTCTATATTTACTCCCCAGCTCCTGACTGAATAGGTGAGGGCAAGAGCTTTCTAGGGTGAGGGTTTAGGGCCTAGGGTTTCGGGTTTAGGGCTTAGGGTTTAGGGCCTTTCTGCTTGCTTGGCATTCCTTTACAACTCTCGGAAGGGCTATGCGATGTTGGAGGTATATGCCATGTCAGCGCTTTCTCAAGTTCTGATCGGATGTGTCCCAACCCTAAACACTATAAACCCTAAACGCTAAACACAGTAACAACCATAAAAACCATAAACCCTAAACCCTCTGAACGAATTTGTGCTACATCTTGGCCCTCAGTGTAGACCAAAAGGGAGCTGGGGGGGGGAGTCGAGCGCCGGCTGTGGTGCACTCCGCCATGGAGAAGGACAATAGGGGTTTAGGGTTTTGGGTTTTGGGCTTAAGGCTTCTGGGATTTCTTGTTTGAGCCATTAGCTTCGGATCCTGGATCCTGGTTCATATCAGTAGGGAAACTCAGGAATTCTGTCTGGAGGAACTGTAAACCCTAAACCCTGAAACCCTGAACCCATATCATTCCTATGGGGCCCTTAGTTGCCCATCTCTGGAGGAGGATAGCTTCGCGTCACCCCCGCCCATGGCAGAGCATGTAGCTCAGCAAGACGCCGCAGTTGGATAGATCGATGTTTAGGGTTTAAGGGTTTAGGTTGGGTACTGCCCCCACTCAGTAACAGTTGGATAATATTTTATAATATAGTTGTATATAGCCCTTAATATGACCCCTAGTATAGACTGTTACTGGGTGGGGGCAGTACCCAAGGTTTAGGTGTTAGAGTAGCTATTAAGCTTACCATCCGCAAGTCAGCCTTCTATCACGTCATGTAAGTAGGTTTATATGCGCGGGTACATACATACATGTAGTATTTATGTGTATATGTATGCATACATTACATGCCCCTCACACCCTTCCGCACATCCAGCTTAACGAGGCTGGGCAACTACAAGGGCGTGATGCTCTGCAACAGACCCACGGCCTCGGACGCGAAGCTGAAGGAAGCTGCCGTGAGGCCTGCGGTTCTTCCACGAAAAGGGTAAAGTGGGAGTTATATAGGAATTATAGGGTAGGTATTGGAGTTATATACGGATTATAGCGTATGTATTGGAGTTCTATAAGGATTATAGGATATATATAGGAATTGGATAAGGATTATAGGATATATATTGGAGTTACACAAAGGTTATAGGGTGTATATTGGAGCTATATAAGGATTATAGGGTATGTATTGGAGGTATATAAGGATTATAGGATATATATTGGAATTGGATAAGGATTATAGGATATATATTGGAGTTACACAAAGGTTATAGGGTATATATTGGAGCTATATAAGGATTATAGGGTATGTATTGGAGGTATATAAGGATTATGTCGGGTATATATTGGAGCTATATTGGGATAATGGAAAAGAAAATGGAAACTACTGCGTAGGGATTAGGGTTTAGGGTATAGTCCCCCTTAAGTAGACAGAATGTAGCTTTGGGTATATTGTAATAAGATCCCCATATACCCCATATTCTATCTACTTAAGGGGTGTAGACTAGACCCAGGATTGCTTGCAGAGGATCCCTGGGAAAGGCTAGCCTCCCTTCTTAGCCCCCACCCGAAACTCTCAACCCTAAACTGCCCTGAACCCAAATTCATTCGGTCAAGCACATCCTAAGCGCCCCTGAACACTAGGCGCCGCTCCAACCTCAAAGTTTAAAGCCTTAAACTTCAAGCAGCCCTGGACCTTCCTGACCAAGAATCCACCCCAAGGCCCCAAGCCCTGAAACCCTGAAGCCCTAAACCCCCAAGCCCCTAAACCCTAAATCATTCCTACGCCCTAAACCCCTAAAGCCCAACACAAAATGGCGTGACAGGCCCTTCCGTTCAGCGATCCCAGCCACTGCCGCATGCCTCCATGGATTTGAGCACGATGTGTTCGTTTAGGGTTTAGGGTTTAGGATACAGGATTTAGGGTTTAGGATTTAGGGTTTAGCTCATAAATTAGGTCAATCCCCCTATGGTCAGTTATAGCTCCCATGGAATTAATGAGGCCGTAATCTATCTACAACAGTGTCTTGTGGTACCCCATACTGGGCGGGGGGATTGACCCAACTCATAGAGTGCCATGTGGGATAGCATAGTTGGGGATCCGGATCCTCCCAAATACCCTACCAAGGCCTCCAAAATAAATACCCATGGCATTAGCCTGCCGAAGCCTTAAATCCTAAACCGTATCTTTCGCTGAGGTCGGGGACGCTCTGGGCCTCTATCGCAAGAAGGAGGCAATGCCTGAGGCGGGAAAACGTGCCTGGTGACAAATCCTGGGAAGGGTGGAATGGTGAAGAAATGAAGGCTACCACGCAGCAAGTTTACGGGTTTTGCGTTTAGGCTGGTCTAGCAGGAACTGCATGAAGTGTTGGGTTTGGGGTTTGGGCAGGGTTAGTAGGAAGAGATCCCTCTTGTAGTCCCTATGTTATATACCCTCTCAATAGCCCCCTTTACCAGATCCCATAGACCACTCCTTGACTAGTAACTTTCACCAACCCCCTA